TTGCGAGTGAGAAATAAATAGGAAATAAAAGTTTCATATTCTGAAAGCCAAGACTTTGTTTGTTTAAAATCAAACAAAACACCCGAACCCCGAAAAAATAGTTTTTTTTACGTAAATCCACGTTTATTTTTGAGAGATTCTGCTCTGACAACTAAGCTAAACTTTTACCTGTTAAGATTGTGCACGGCACAACAGAAAGTTACAGTAATTTTCAATGGACTTTTTTTCTGTGAAGAACCCAGAGAGGGTTATTTGGTTATTATTTATTTCATAAATAGTGTTATTTATTTCATTAATAGTGTTATTATTTATTTCCTGACTTTTTTTCTGTGAAGATCCCGGAAAGGGTTATTAATATTTGGTTATGTGTGGCTTTCTAGAAAACAATAAATGTTTACGTTTAGACACCCATGCGATCGTCACACTTTTTCTGTTACAAACTGACCCGGCCCCCATCAGAGAAGGGAAAAGTTATGTGGCCCTCACAGGAAAAGTTTGGGGACCCCTGTGTTAGCTGGTTATACTAACTAGCATGTTGTTAGCTGAAGTGTTTGTGTCTAGCATGTAACATGTATACACTATCTTCCACTATAGTCTTTTAGGACAGTTTTTACCTAAGGACTAATTTTATGACATACTTAACAATGACTTTTTTAAAGAAATACAATACATTGATTTCTTTATGTCACCATGTTGTGACTTTTGACGAGTTTTTAATGAAATACTAAAGTTCGATTTTCTTAATGATTTGTTAATGTTAATTTTACGGAATACAATCATTTAACTTTTTAACACAATTTTTATGACATACTGTACCATGACGTTTTTTTTACGATATACTGAATTACAATTTGTTTGATTTTTGTACCTCTTTTCTTTGAACTGAACTGCACAACAACTTCAGTCAGTAAGGTAATTTAACATTTCCATCTCCACTGTGGATGCAAATAAACAGGAAGGCAGTTTTAAACTCACAGCAGAGCAACATCACTGTGTGTATTGATAAGTGACTTCACAATGAAGCTCAGTATGCTCAGTAAGTGAATGCTGAGAACTATTTTTGGTGATAAACTGTGAAAAAGGAGAACACAACTATTGTGTCTTCTTATTTTGTAGTGCAGCGGTAGAGACAGAAATACAAAGACGGTGTTGTTGGGTGTGGACCTCACCAGGACTCCCAGGCTTTTCAACAGGGGGTAAAGGCTGGAGGCAAGAAATACAAGTTTCAAGCTCTGGCCTTGGTGCGGAAGAGGATGTCTGACCAGGTGGAGCAGAAGGCCTGCCAGCCCTGCAGCCAGTAGGGTCTTCCCCCACAGACCACAGGCCGGCAGCACATGGCTCCACCCTCGGCCTCGGTGCCTGGTAAAAAACAGAGGATACTGAGGTCCTATTTCAAAATATAAAGAAATCTTACATAAACTCCTTGTATCACACACAACCTTTGGAAGCCCATTTCCGCCAATGTAATTTAAAAAGAAATCCTGTAATGATGAGTAACCTTTTCAAAATAATCATTGTGTATCTCAAAATGATGTTTTGACCTATTTCAAAATAATGATTTTAAATGACAAGAAAATTATTAAATGTGAAACTTTGATAAGCCATTTTTTACTCTATCTTATGCTTTTTGACAAAGTACCTTGTTATATTGACATGACATGTCATTATTTTCAAGAAGGTTTGTTATATTGACAGGATTTATTTTTATGTTTTCATTTTAATTTTTTATTTCACTTGCGGAAATGTGCTTAAAAACAACTTATTACTCTCACCTGGTATTTGAGTGGTAGAGTATTTCTTCTCTGCCAGCAGCAAGCCCATGCAGCAGAGGGCCAAGGGTCAGGATGAGTATCACCATGGCAACCCATTCAAACAACCTTTCAGGAGACAGAAACAGGACGCCTCCTATTGTCATGGCAGACAGCACCGCAGCACACAGTTTAGGTAAACTCCCCCGAGGCCTCGGGATGAGATCGTCCTGATCCTGGAGGCTCTGCATCTGTCAGGGGATTAAAGTGTCAGGGAGTGCTCCAATAAAAACAGAAGTATCTACTTTCAGTGTGTAGAGTCAGTACACTCAGAAAATGGTTCAATAAATCTAAACTGTGGCAGTTTAGTGACAGGTATGGCTGTTGTTGTGATGTTTCCTTTCAACTTAAAGGGGCACTATTATGCTTGTAAAAACATGCTTAATCTGCCATTGCAGATTGTAACCATAACCACCGGCCACCCTTCAGTTCCAAGTAGAGGTCCCTACAGACTGAGCACAGGCAGTATGAGAAAAATAAACACCTTACTGAACATTAAAGCATCTAAACATGAAGGCCCGGGGCACAAAATATAAATATAAAAATGAAAATTAGTATAATATGGCTCCTTAAAAACATTCCATTCCACCATCTGGTCTGTTTATTGGTATTGATTTGTGTGATTTGTGTGTCCATGAGCAGTGGCAATTAAATAAAGGCTCAGTCTGCATGTAAACATGTCACAGAAGAGGCACAGAATACCAATATGAACCTGAAAATTAAATGAGCATAATAGGGCCGTTTACATTTTTGGACATACAAATATTTCACCTGACAACCACCATTCAGCTTCTACAACCTAGAAAGACATCATTAACTTTCACATGCTGTAAGAGCCAGTGTAACCATACAAGAATATGTTAACTATACTCAATAAATATAACAAATCAAGCTAAAAGTGTGGAGTTATAATTTCTAGGAGGATGTATTGATATTTTGAAAGTACATTTAATCTGATTTGCAGTGTTTCTATATTTTATTAATATCTATATATTATACCTGCAAAACATGTGTTTATCACCCGAAAAAGCTTGATATATCAGAAGTAATTTTACAATTTGCATAACTTTTAATCTGAGTATATTCAAGATGTTTGTTTTCTTACCAAGTTTCTCTCCACACAATTCAATCTCTAAAAAGTGCTTTCAAGTGAAGCCACATTGCAATGATGGCAGGATGGTGAAAGTGCTGAATGCACTGTACACAGATTACAGATCAGTTTTATATAAAGCAGTTAGGTTCCTTTTTTTAACCAAAAATACATAACTGATCTCTGTCAGTGATGATGCCAGTGTTCACAAGAGGGGAACAAATAAATCTAGGGTATATTTAGTCTAACTCCATAAAAAGTCAAACTAAGAGAAATTAATATATGAAGGGACTCACCTTAGTGTGTTTGCGATGATCCAGAAGTGAGAGATATTCGTTTGCTCTCTGTTCTTCTTATGCCTCTCCCCTGCCCCTTCATTCTCCTTCCAACACTTTCACTTTCGTTTACTGCTTATTCCTCTGCCTGTCATTAATAACATCACCATGAAGAGAAGGGCGTGGGAAGAGCTAGAGTTCACGGAAAGGGTTCATGAAAGAAGAAGTTCTCACCATAAATAGCTATGAATATTTTTCAAATGACAACAGGTTCTTCAGAAGTTCACTTTCTTTTGAACTGTTTCAATTGGTTGCCAAATGTACACAATCTTGGTTTTCCATAAAGAAATGGAAGTCATTTCCCTATAGTTTGAGGGTAAAGGATTGTTTTAAACAAAGTTATGCAATGAGGCGATATGAGAGGCATGCCTGTGCAATTACTCTTAAAACTGGATAAGATATTTCCCCTGAGAGGAAATTGAGCTTGAGCAATAGGTCTACACATGTCTGCATTCAAAACATGTGTAACCAACAAGATGTAACATATTGCAAATGCCCAGTTAAATGTATATAGAAATATGTAGGCATTATAAAAATAAGGAGAATATAAGAACAAAACACAAAAAACCATGGACCATCAATTGGTGCCTGATTTCTGTGAACTACACAAACAGGATTAACCTGTTTTCTTGTAGAGAAGTTTTACAGATAATGGGAGGACATAAGGCTCAACATTTGTATTTTTACGTTTACTGGCTCAGAAACGTCTACATTTTAGGGATATAGAACGTATGAGGGGGGTCCTTAAGAATTCTGTTTGCAGTACAGCATTGTAGAATGTATGGTCTTCATTCCCACTCCAAATGGCCCTTGGATGCAGGGACGTGTACAGGAACGGGCTAATGTTGCCCGGGCAACGACCCGTTTGGCCTTTTTGGCTGACCTGCCCCTCTGGAGAGAGCGAGAGTTTATTGTTCTTTTTTCTGTTGTGGCCGAATCAACATGATGAGCCCACAATTAGTATCGTAGCATCTCGCTGCGGGAAACACACTTTGTCAGCGCTGTCATCTGCCGGTGCGTTAGACCACCTCAGTGTCAGATTTTGGAAACTTGATTTTGAGTTGTCTCATGGCAGTTATATAAGGGACATTGGTTATTTACAAAAAAACACTTAAATATAGCCTACTTGTTTTTGTGCTTCTGTCTTTCTGGTCTTTTCATCTGTGAACTCCCTCAACGGGGCCGCTCGCTCTCTTTTCTTGATCGCCCTCTCACGGTGAACAGTTCACTGTCCCGCTTCATTGTAGGATTTCTGCCATGTCTCTACCACTTTAGTTTGACCATCTCTGTTATTAAGTTATTGAATACTAAATAAATAAGTAATTAGATACCTTACCGTTACTGCGCTCATAAAGAATGATAAGAATAAGAATAATGCGTATTGAACTGGTTTAATTAATTAGTGAGTTTATTTAAGTTAGAGGCCCTATTTGATCAGTAGCCATATGTCTGGACTGCACAGCAGTTACAATGGTCTGGTCAAACTACATTAGAACAGAATTGTCCCCATTTTGTCTTTAATAGTTACAAACATTAGATATTTTAATGAGATATGGACCGCAAAACAAAAAATGTCCCTGGTTTTCATTTTTAAAATCAAGTCACCGAATGCAAGTAGTCGCCTTCGCTTATTTTGTTATGAGATGTGAATTACTGTTCAATTTAGTTGATGTAATAATCATTTGGTTTCTTTTACATTCAAAACAATTTACAATTTTCAAAAGGTCTTATATTTTTTTTCGGGGGGAGGCCCTTTTTCCAGTTTAGAGCAATAGCCCCTCCAAATGTCTGTGCACGTCCCTGCTTGGATGAAGTTATTTATGCCCTTAAACAAAAAGGTGTTTTGTTTCAAGTGTACAGCACTCATCATCACTGCATCCTGTGTGTTGGTTGGACTTCCCGGACAGAAAGGCATAATAAATGTTGTTAATTATTTATCTAAAAGCCCTCATTGGTAAACTAACGCCTCACATCACAATGAAGCTGGATTATAAAGCTGCACATATGCCTGTAGGGCGATTTATGGTTTAGTAGATTATCAGAACATAAAATAATCATTTAATATTGTGACGATTATCTTCCGTTTAACTTCAATGCACTTTCAACCGCAGCACGTGGCTCTAACATTTTATAGCCGACTATATATAACCTTTATTTCTATTCAAACCCCGGGCAAAAGCAGAAGTCCTCCACCACTTTGAGATAGTGGACATGGTCTTCTTGGTAAATAGGGACATCAAGAGGTCTTTACATTATTCTATTAAACAGATGACTTATAACCTAACTTGGTTTGTTAAACTG